CGGGGGGGTTGTAATAACATATAAATTGCTATTACAGTTTTAAAGACACAACATAGAAAATCTCGGAGGTAATGGAAACAAAATATTGCCGAATCAAGATTTAAAATACACCTTCAACTTATATACACCAAAATTTCCCCATTAGATTACATATCATTGAGAAATTAGTCCAAAAAACATAAAACCAATTACAAATGAAGGATTCTATCAATTTATTATACCATAATCATTAATCATAAAAGATCTAGGTAAATGAAAACATTATTAAATCGATAACCCTAGAACTCACCACCAAGAGATACAACACCCATATACGTTTTGTTTTTCCTTTTTTGTGGAGTAGGGTGAAGAGGGGGTCACTAGGGTGTGTTAATGAAGATGCATAAATGAACTCATGAAAAATTATATATATATATATATATATATATATATATANATAATTAGGAAAGAAATTTCAAGGTGCACAAAGCATTTCGCATTCATGCGAGTCCAAGGAAAGGTTAACTCCTCTAGGGGTGTGATATAGATCGTCTAACCTAATGCAAGCATTAGTAGCTGTTTCCACCGCTCGAACCTATGACCTATTGATCACATGAAAACATTTACCACTGCTCTAAGGATTCCCTTCAAGCAAATTAAAGAAATGCTAAGTCTAAGATATTAATGCACTTTCAACCCATATATGAGTCATGAAAAGATAGAAAACTGTCAGTTACCTGTATTAGTCGAAGTGCGGACAAACCGCTAACACTAGGATTACACAAAAAGAACTACTAAATAGAGGCAAACAAACATCCTTCAGTACCTTTTTCACTTCTCTATAGTCTCGGAATGGCCTGGTATAAGGCATACAGTTTACACCTTGCTGGAGGAACGGCATACCCGAAGAAATTGAAAGATCGACGACAGAACGAAGAACGAAACTTTATGACAGCAACATAACCAAGATTCATTTTATGTTGACGCGAGGTCCTCGTTTTAGAGCAAAGAAGTCATCATTTGCCGATGCAGCATCATCAAGATTCTCATGTTCAAAAAACTTAGGGGGGCAGATTTTTACAAATATATTATCTGCTCCACATGATTTCTATGTGAATCTTGAAGATGCTGCAGCTGCAAGTAACAACATGTATGTCAATAAATACATAATACAACAATGAAATAAAAGAAAAATGGCCAAATTCTTGGAATTGCATAAAAGTCCAGGCTAAGGATATATAAGCTAAGGCTATATATAAAGAGATCTCGAATTCCTTCCCATCTAAACCTAGATCTATAAGAATTGATGGAACTTAAAGCCAAAAGGTGTAAACTTTTGACCTTTTTACAAAAAAAAAAAAATATATATTATCAAGACCAAGGCAGAAGATCTAACTTATGGATTTGAGACTCTTTGTGAAAAGATGGATGAAAGAAATTTAAAAAAATAAATAAAATAATTGGACCAATCAAGGAGAAGGAAAATAACCATAACATATTTCAACAATTGATATTTCATCTACATCATTGATCAAGAGAAAGAATAAAAATTGATCAAGTAAAAGAACACAAGAGGATAATTTATAAAAATGAAAATAGAGAGAAAGGAGCACTATATTACACACATAGAAAAGAATTTAGGACCTAAGATTGAGTTACAAATTAATGATTCAAGATTTGGGAAAACAAACGACGAAACAAGAGGTGAAAGTCTGGGTGGATGAGACTTATTTGAGAAAAAATAATATTTAAACCCTCTTATACACCAAAAAAATCAAACAATTCCAAAAACCATAAGGTTCTAAAGATTTAATAAAAGAATTCATACACAAGAGTGTGAGGAGAGGGCAAAGGAAGGGAGGAAAAGTGGAAGAAGAGAGCATCACAAGTTTGACAAAAAGAGGAGTTTTGAGATACTTATATACACAGTTAACCAAACCCTCAGCTGGAGGTTTTCTTCTATTTTAATCAGTTATAATGGAAATTTATAGTGTTACTTAATATGCATCATTATAAAATGAGGTGTCATTATTTACCAAGTTAACCAAAATATTCAGATGGTTGTTATCTATTGTATTGTATCGTACTGGTTATTTTAAGTATAATGTTTATTTAGATTGCTACTTAAATTTTATTATATCATATTCTTAAATCCGTTGTTATGTAATGATAAAAAGTGACAATTTATGTAATGGTCGATTTGATGTGGTCACGTCCTTCCCCTTTAATTTCTTATTTTTAAATAATTCTATTTTATCCTTTATCCTACATTTTTATATAATAATTCTACCTCGTAACCTACTTTTTCTTTGAAATATTGTAAGTTTATTCTTCAATAAACTGGTGTGTGACATAATAAAATGACGGCAAACGATACAATCTATCCAAATATTATATTTATCAAAATTAAATAATACAGTACAATACAATACATTATGAAACAATATTTAATAACCATAAGTAAGCAAAATTAGTATAGCTATGCATCTTAAATTCTACAAGAGACTATTTTAACTATTTAAACGTGTGATTTTCTGATCATATGGCGACACTATTATCATTGCGCCAAGATTCCTTCATAGGGTAGCCCATATAAAATATCAATATACATTCTACTTTAGATTCATTAATACTTCTTGTGTTAGCTTTTTCTGTCCTCGAGTTTGATCCATTTTCTAAATGCTAATTGCCAAGGCGGCTGAACTCGAATTATAGAATAAACAAGCATCAAACTGATTAAAGACTTCATTTTTCATAGCTATTCTTTATTTAACTGATAATATGTGCTAAATAACATCTATTATTATAAGATTACGAATGGCTTTTAATTCAAGTTCAATTCAGTAATGATAATTAGTTAGACTATGAACACCGAAGGGATATGCAAAAATCTTGATTTGACGTAATTATCAGAAGCAAACAAAATCTTAGGATAATCATCATAAAATATGTTTTTGTATTAGTCTAATTACTTATTATTTATTACAATATGATGAAATTATCACGATTGTTAGTATCATCATTAGTTATCCTTCTTCATATTGACTTGTATCCCTCAGAACGTATCTTGTTTCACATCACGTGTAATAGTGTTTTTTTCTTCTTTTTTGATTATATCTTTGCTAGCTCTTCATTTTTTTAACCATCTGGTATTTGAAATTCATTCAACCAATTCAAATTCGCGTCATGTAAGGTCCATTTAAGAATGAAAAACTTTCGATTAGTTCTCTATCCAAAGACTCGGGATAAAAACTCGAGACCTTCAATTAAAGGTGAGTCATGGAGGGATCTTATTCATTGTACCACGTTCCCTTAACTATATATAAACTATAAGAGTGACTTTGCTTAATTTGAGCCCTACAGTAAAATGTTGTAATAGACGTCCTATATTATAACATAATATAAAAGTCAGTTTCAAGAAAAAATTGACTATAGTTAATGATTATTATACAAAAATGATGTTATAAAGAGGTCTGACTGACGTTTTTTAGTGCTATATTTTTCGCTTAACAGTCAGTTGTTTCATGTAGGCCAGAAGAATCTATGCGGATAAGATTTTTTTATTTTATACAAAATCTGTAAAATGAGAAAGTGATTTAAAGGAGAAAGCTTTCTTACGTAAACCCACTTGATTGGGGAACAATCCGTACAATATATGATGTGGATACCATTTTCCTTTTAGTTTTTATTTTATTTGGCTTTATGCAAGTGATTTCTGATGTGGGATTTTGAATAAATTTTCCTTAGAATTGACGGAAATGATGTGCACTGCCCCCATGTTACAGCGTTGCTAGAAAATAGTGCACCCATGTTACAGCGTTGCTAGAAAATAATGGAATACGTGGAGGTTGAAAATTAGGACAGAAGATATAGTTCAAACGTTTTTCTTATTCATATCAATAATAGTCGGGGGCGGTTCTATAGTCTTAATTATGAGGCACGTGAACTCATGGTCCTTCCGTCAAACTAAGTATTTTATGTATGTATTTTTTAGAAATGGTCCAATATTATGTATTGGCATCCATGCTCCATAAATGTTAAATAGTGCACTTGGTTCAATACTTAATTATTTACTCAAAAAACATGGATCAATTCCCAACAACAACAACAACAACAACAACGACCCAGTATAATCCCACAAGTGGGGTCTGGGGAGGGTAATATGTACGCAGACTTTACCCCTACTCCGAAGGGTAGAGAGGCTGTTTCCAGGAGACCCTCGGCTCAAAAGAAGCAATAGGAGATGATACATTAGTACCATAAACATCCGTAATAAAACAGCAACAATATATAAGAGATATGAAATATGAAATACAGGATACGACAACGAAAATACGAAATAGATGGCTGGTATAGCACAACTAGAAGGTAAAGCCCTGCATCAATAGACGCCTAATGACATTCCTAGTCTAACTCCTAACTGGATAGTCTCCCTCTATTGTGCTGTAGAAATATTCACACTCTCCCCTAACCTACAACCCTAATGCTCGACCTCCATAAATCCCTATCAAGGGCCATGGATCAATTCCCACTTTACATTTTTTCCTCCTCCTTTCTTTAGTGGTGCACCCATGTTCTAGAAGTCCTAGATCGACTCTGGTAATAGTAGTGTTAGTCTTGTATTTTTTTATTTGTAGATTTCTGTTAATATTTGTTATTTCTTTCGCTTCGATTTTCATGTTGGATTGCTGGTGTACTGTTACTATTTGTTGTTATTGCTTCTTTTTCTATCTTTTTTGAGCCAAGGGTCTAACAAAAATAATCTCTCTACCTTTCCAAAATAGGGGTAAGGTTTGTATACACAGTATCCTCCTCTGATCACTTGTGGGATTACATTGAGTTTGTTGGTGGTGGTGGTGGTCTTACTTTTGAATAATTAGTGGAAATTTGAGATATACACGCTAATAGACATTTTCTCAATGCATTAGCATGAACCTGAAATACTTTTTATAAATTAAGTTTGGTTAATAGTATGCTAAACAAAATTTATGCAATACTTAAATTGATAGCCAGATCTCCAGATGATAATATTAGTCTTATTTTTCGTCTTTTATGATAGTAAAACCCTAGGGTAGCTAAAGCCCTATTTGTTATCTGATTATTAAGATAATGTTACAAAATCAAATACTGTAAAATTAAGATCGTTTATTTTCATGCGTTTGAAAGAGTATATTTTATTACAATTATTATTTTCATTTACATAGTATTGTAAATATTATTTGTTTGATGAAGCACACTCTGAAATTAATGGCATTCGCAGTTACAATTGATAGTCCATGATTGTGCAGTGGTCGCTAATGGTGGTTGTGGTTGGTGGAAGTGGCTAACAGTTAGTTCTTGCGATGGTGACGGATGGTGCGGGTGTTGTGGTGACGAGAGATGATAGTTTGTGGCGATAGCTAGCGATGGAACTATATATATATAGTTATTGGTGGTGGTTGACGGTAGTGATTATACTATGATAATGACAGGTAATGAAAGTGGTTTGTGGTATGGGGGATGGTCAAGGTCGGAGGGAGAAGCCCGACTATGGGTTCGTTCGAACCATCTTTTGCTTAAACAATATATTTATGTTAGAAATTCATAAAATATGAAGAAAAAAAATATTAAGTTTATTAGTATTTGAAATGAAAATTCAGAACTAATAAAATTAAAATCCTGGCTCAAAAATCAAAATTGGTAATGGTGGCCGTTGGTGATGGAATTGATTGGTTGTGAAATATAATTGGCGATAGTTGCTGCAGGTGATTTTGAAGGAATGTTCTAGACGTTGAAACATTGTTTGCCCTAATCAACAATATTAGAAAAATGCTTTAGAAAATCGCATTTATAACTTTCATTTCCCTTTTAATATCTGGAAAATATTGGTTTATTTGCAATATTCTAGCTTAGATTTGATTGGAATTTGTAATTCATTTGTCAAAATATACAAGTATGGGTTTTGTATATCTAAAACTCCAACAACAAATCAGGTTACGACAACTCAGGAATAATTAATCCGATAAATTGGCAGAAGTGGGGCTTAGATATTAGATACTTATTAAAATCATGGCAGACAACCTAGTACCCCTTTGGATTTCTCTGTCATGTTAATCTGACTTCGGCCAATGGGACTCAAGTATTAACGAGCAAGTTATATATTTGGAGAAAAAAATCAAAAAGAATTGAAAGACAGTGACGGTTTTAAAACTAAACGAAATTTAATCACTTTTTCATATAAAGAAAAAATTAAACAAAAGCAGTATTAAAATTTGAAAAAGTTCCAGTATAAGATGTTGTAGCTCGAAATTTTTGGCGCATGAGATTATATTCCAACATAATGTGCTGAAGTTCCAACATAATATGCTGAAAGTTTATATGCATGAGCTCCATAATCCAGCATATTATGCTGGGACTTTCTGTATTTCAGCTAAAATAGTGGCTATTTTTCAGTGACTTTGCAAATGCATGCTATTTTTCGATTACCAGTCTAAAAACTGGCTAGCTCGTACTATTTTCACAACATATTTGGCCGGCCGGCCAAAAATAATTATATTCGCTAATTTAATATATAAATACATTGATTATATATAAAATATGTATATTACACACTAACATTTTAATATATATTTTACATGATATTATTTTTAGGATCAATTATACAATGTAGTTTTTCCTATTAATTATGATCTACACCTCGAATTTATTAAGCAAATTTGGCAATGGAACAGCAGTTTTTGCTAATATTTTTGCTCCATCGTTATAAATTAAAAAACTTCTATTGATTCCCATTGAAAAGATCAACTGAAGTGCATTAATGTGCTAAGCAGTTGGATATGTATATAATTAAAGGTTTTAAAGAATTTTCTTTCCATCTGTTTCCTTGCTTCTCCTTTAGACGGTCACATAAATAGAACATTATCATATTTATGTATGCAAATTAAAATTTATATTTGTTAAA